ACAAAGTGATTCCTTTTTTTAACCACACAAAGTTCATGGAGATTTTTGTACATGGAACTGAAATTTTGCTACTTGCTTGCTTTGTGTCACAGTTGTAGCTCTCAAAGCATTCCCATCCTGCCTATCACAGTTGACAAAAGATTCCCTTAGACTTGTTTGTAACTTATTGCTTTCAGTAATCCTTTTTCTATTTGTATCCTTTTTCTTAATATCAGAATGACTTTGTGTCAGTGTTTTATGTACATCGTACTTGTAAAACATTGCTGATCATAGAATTGTTCAGGTTGGAAAAGACCTTCAATATCACTGAGTCCAACCATTAACCTGATACTACCAAGTCCACCACTAAACCATGTCCCTAAGTGCCACATCTACATGTCTTTTAAATACCTCCAGGGATGGTGACTCAACCACTTCCCGTTCCAGTGCTTGACAACTCTTTCAGTAAGAAATTTTAATTAATTAAACCTCCCCTGGTGCAACTTGAAGCCATTTCCTCTTGTCCTACTGCTTGTTACTTGTGAGAAGAGACCAACACCCACCTTGCTATAACCTCCTTTCAGGTAGCTATAGAGAGTGATAAGGTCTCCCCTCAGCCTTCTTTCCTCCAGGCTGAGCAACCCCAGTTCCTTCAGCTGCTCCTCACAAGACTTGTGCTCCAGACCCTTCACCAACTTCATTCCTCTTCGTTGGACACACTCCAGCACCTCAATGTCCTTCTTGTAGTGAGGGGCCCAAAACTGAACACAGTATTTGAGGTGCAGCCTCACCAGTGCCAAGTACAGGGGGACAATCACTTCCCTGGTCCTGCTGGCCACACTGCTTCTGATACAAGCCAAGATGTTATTGCCCTTCTTGGCTAACTGTGGACCTGCACAACCCCAGTTCCTTTCCCACCAGGCAGCTTTCCAGCCACTCTTCCCCAAGTCTGTAGTGTTGCATGGGGTTGTTGTGACCCAAGTGCGGGACCTGGCACTTGGCCTTGTTGAACCTCATATAATTGGCCTCAGCCCATCACTCCAGCCTGTCCAGGTCCCTCTGTAGACCCTTCCTACCCTCAAGCAGATCAACACTCCCACCCAACTTGGTGTCAGCTGCAAACTTACTGAGGGTGCACTCCATCCCCTCATCCAGGTCATTGCTAAAGATATTAAACAGAAGTGATGATAAGTGCATTCCTGTTTCTAACCAAACTTGCTAGCTAGTCCTGTTTACAGAAACTTAAAACTTTAGGCTGAGTAACTGGCTTAGATTAATCCTAGAATAGTTTAGTTTTTGGAAGAGAACTCTGCATGTCATCTGCTTGAACCTCCCACTCAAAGCAGGGCCAGTTTCAAAGAGGTAGTAGGTTACTCAGGGCGTCTTTCTTACTGCTGACACCCTGGCAGTAATTGTAATTATGAAAATTGTAATTAGAAAAACCTCGTATGTGCTAGTGTATCTTTACCGTTGTTACTTTTAACCAATAGTTAAGGTATTTTAAATGTGTATTAAACTGCTTTTTTCTTTTGCTGTTGTGGTCTATTCTAATTAAGTCTGGTTGCAAAAGTCCTTGCTGTTGTCTTACTCATTTTGCAGAACCATGGAAAATAAATTTTCTGGTTCAACATTTTAATGAAATCTGATTTAAAAAAAAAAAGTTAGCAAAAAAAAATCTGGCTGACTTGAGTTGTAAAGTATACTTCGCACCGTTTGTGGGGTTTCTTACTTGTTTGCATACCTGTTCTACGAAGGATGGTGAAAGAAAGCGCTTGTTGAGTGAGAACCAGCAGCTCCCATGTGCTCCCCGCATGTTCCCGCGGGGCGCTTTGGCTACACGACAGCTCCATCTGCTGTTCTCCCTGCAGACGGCCCTTCGTCTGAACCTCTCACTTCAGCTTTACATTGGTTCTTGTGCTTCTTCTGTCTGACTTGGTACGTTTTCAGACAGATTTTACTCTTGTGAGGAGATACTCCTTGGCACACTTCCAAACTGTTTGGTGTTCTGGATTCAGAAGCTCTTTGAATTTCTTGGCAATAACCAGCAGTTAGGACATCTCTTTGTCTGCTTTACAAAAATCAGATTTTCTTTTAGAATCATAGAATGGGTTGGGTTGGATAGGACCTTAAAGATCATCTACTTCCAACCCCACTGCCATGGGCAGGGACACCTTCCACTAGATCTGATTGTTCAGAGCCTCTTCCAACCTGACTTTGAACACTTCCAAGGATGGGGCATCCACAGCTTCTCTGGGCAACCTGTTCCAATGCCTTACCGCCCTCGGCAGGGAAGAATTTCTTCCTTAGATGTAAATGAAATCTGCCCTCTTTCAGTGGAAATCCATTGCCCCTTCTTTCACTACATGCCCTTGTAAAGAGTCTCTCTTCAGCTTTCTTGGAGGCCCCCTTTAGGTACTGGAAGGCTGCTAGAAGGTCTCTCTAGAGCCTTCTCTTCTCCAGGCTGAACAACCCGAACTCTCTCAGCCTGTCTTCATAGGAGAGCTGCTTCAGACCTCACCTTTGTGGCCCTCCTCTGGACTCGCTTCAGCAGCTCCATGTCCTTGTGTTGGGGACTCCAGAGCTAAACACAGTATTCCAGGTGGGGTCTCACGAGAGCAGAGTAGAGGGGCAGAATCACCTCCCTCAACCTGCTGCCCACGCTGCTTTTGATACAGCCCAGGATACGGTTGGCTTTCTGGGCTGCCAGTGCACATTGCCGGCTCATGTTGAGCTTCTCATCCACTTGCACTCCCAAGTCCTTTTCCTCAGGGCTGCTCTCAATCCATTCTGCACCCAGCCTGTACTTGTGCTTGGATGCAGAATCAAGTTTTAAACCTAAATGTTTAATTTCAGATGATTCCATAAAAGGCAGACAGGACACATGAGCCTGTTTTTTCTTATCTCTGGCTAGCAGCCTGACCAGAAAGGTTAAATAGAAAGGGATACTTCTCCCCTTTACAGACAGACCTGGCACAAAAGGTGTATTAGTTGTGCTGTGTAATAGTGTAGGAGTTTATTAAACTATACTGTGATTTTTATGGGATGTGCCTTATCTAATCCTTCTCTTTAGTTGTCCCATGGTCTTCTGACCAAAGACTTCTTCAGTTGCTGCCCTTGTTCTGCCTTCGTACATCTAATGACTACATCTAATCACTCTTGATTATGCTTGATGTAGAAAGTGAAACTAAAATTAATAACAACTGTGCAAATGAAAAAGGAACCCATGAGTCGTCGCTGTAAAATAAGCCCAGCCTGTGTTGTCAGCGCTTGAATTCAGTGAAAGAGCCCCGAAGTATATGCATGATAACATCACCACGTACTTGTGACCAAGTAGTAAATGGTTCCACTGAGCAAAACTGTAGAACGTACATGAAGTAGTTTTATTTGAGTCTGGAAGTAGTCACGGAGTTAGCTTATTCAGGGCAAAGACCTTTCCTCTTGTGTCTGCCAAGACCTTGCGCAGACCTCCAGCTGTTCCTGCTGTTCTGTTAGCGGTGTGCTGCAACACAGCTGTCCTCTTTCATCAGTCCCAGAGTGAGGAAGCTTTGAGAGAGCTTGGAAAAGACTGTATATCTTCAATAAGTTCCTGTGCTCTCTTTGATCCGAAGCAAACACAAGGACGTGGTGTGGAGCAGCTGGATCCTGCAGGTCCAGAGTTAGGCTTTCTGCACTGCCCGGAGGAATCTGCCTGGCAGTTAGGTCACTGCCTCAGCAACAAGTGCTTGGATTGGTGTGGGATTTGCTGCTTTTTAACATTAACTTGCAGATGTTCTCAAAACAGGAGATGTGAAAGGTTGGTTCCTGGAGCATCTGAGCGGTTTGGCAGAGATGTCGGTGCAAAGGCGGATGGGTGAGCAGAGATGTTCAAGCCAGCAGATGTCAGGCTGTTACCGCCAGCGAGAAACTGTGAAAGGAAAAGATGATGCTTTGTGCTGAGGGAAGTCAAAATTGGGAAGCCACAGTTCATCCTCAACTGATGAATAAAAGTAGTGATGATTTGGGAATCCGTGGTAATTAAGCAGCATAGCTCTTCTGGAGTAGTTCTGTGTTTTGGTTTCATTTTTTATTTTTTTATAGTAAAAGCCTGTGTGGGTGTTCCAGAATATTATGCCCATGCAGGGAGTTACCTTGTAAAAGCAAGCGATAAGCTTTCCAGTATGGATGGATGCTTGGGGAAAAGTCAAGGGGGATAGTGCCTGCAAAGCAGTGTGAATAAAACCTGGAAAACTGACCTGAGGAATTGAAATTGAATTTCTAATGAGGGAATAAAGCTAACTGTGGTGTTTGAGTTAAGTGGTGTGTATAAGGTTGCAATATTAGTAGGGCAGTGGAAAGAATCGGGGAGGGTATGTAGACTAGTGAAAATTGCAAGGAGAGAAAAGCACAAAAATATCTGAAAAATCTGTCAATAGCACAAGAACTACAGAGAATTAATATCTTCTAAGAATTAAAAAAAAAAAAAGCAAGCACAAAACCAAAAACCAACCCACTTTGTAACAAGAATCTGTTTTAATTTCAATCTTATGCCAAAAGAGGGAGAGAAGGAAGATACTGGTGTGTTTTTTTGGTTTGTTTGTGTTTTTTTTTTTTCATAAATAAGGCTAGTAAGGAATTTTCCTAAGACTCAGAACATGGTGGCACAATGACTGTTTTTACTTGTTGATACAGTTTTATTACATCAGATACTTTGTGACCCCTCAGCAGATTTGTCTGATTTCCTAAATATATCCGGAATGCCTCATGTTAAGTGTGATACTATAAAAAGGGCATGATTTTTTTTTTATGGCTGAAAGAAACATTTCTCCTTCAGCGTGTACACCTGTAATTTTGGCTGGTTTCCTTCATAAAGCAGAAGAATTTTGATGTCTTAGGAATATAAATTAATTCAATGTCATTTTTTTAATCTTAGTAAAGCTTTCTTGCTTTTCTTTATTTTTCACCTGCAAAGTGACTGTTAACACTTCTGGTAGACACCAGGATCAGTTTTAACTTTCTGAACATGTTGTTCCTTGTTCTTACAGATTGATCACTTTGGATTTGATGAAAATCTTACATTCCAGCAGCGGTATCTAGTAGCAGATCAGCACTGGGAGAAAGACAATGGACCAATACTATTTTATACAGGCAATGAAGGAGACATCACGTGGTTCTGCAACAATACGGTATGTAGAAAATAGATTCTTGACCTACAGTCCTTCTTTCCAGTAGTGGCATACTGGAAAAATAAGGAGGAACAAGGAGACAGTGTCAGAGTATCGTTTAAAGAGAAGTTGGTAAGGGTTTTTAAGAGTGTTATAGGAGGAAGAGGCAGCTGAACAAAAGCATAGGAAAAGTTTTAGGGGGTTCAGAGTCCTATTCAAAGGCCATAGAAATCAAAGGAGTGAACTTCTATTAACTTCCTGGAGGAGTAAAGAAAATTTCTAAAGGAAACACTACAAAGTGCCTTAAGCTAAGAATGCAAAACTTTGGTCCAAATTACATCTATCCTAGTACTTCAGGTTCCCCAAGTAAAATGGGAGGTTTTAATGTTTTTTTTTCTCTCTGTAAGAAAAATGTGAAGTGAAACGAAGGGGGCTATCTTGATAAAGATAGATGATTCTTGTTCTCTGACAAGACCTGTGGAGGTTTTTACTTCCCTGACTGATACAAATGCAGAACAGAGTGTGTGGGTATTTTTCAGCCACCTCAATACAAAGTCCAGTAACACAACAGGAGGTGGCATGTGCTGATGAGCTCGGAGCACCCACGGACTGCTGACACACTTTGTTCTGTCAGCAGGCTATCTCTGTCCGCCTGTTTCCACAACTGGTGGTAACAAGCTGCTGTCAACAAGTAATAACAAGTTGTAGCTATTTATTAGTTGAAAATAAGTGTTTTGCAATGCTTTAAATTCTTGCTTGTTGCCAAACAAATTTTGTGTTTTCTGTAATGTAGTCCTAGCTCCAATGCATGCATTTCTCCTGTAGTGTTTTTTATTTCCTGTGGATTAAGCTTGTGCCATAGGAGGTTTGGCAGAACTGACTGTGTGTACTCACAAAATAATGCTGCTTAATATTTTGCAGCATTAAAATATACATATTTTCTTTGTACGTGTCCCTGCCTCTGGGTGGATATTTGTTTAGCGTGTTTTCTTCATTGATACTTGAAAACCTGTCTTTTGAGTTGTGTTTTGATAGTGATAGCTTTCTAGTCAGAGTAAGAGTTGGAGTACACTAGACTGAAAGTAGATACTTGGAAAATAATTGATTCGACTTATTTAAATGTCTGTTTTCCTCCAACCAGGGTTTTATGTGGGATGTGGCTGAAGAACTTAATGCCATGTTAGTATTTGCTGAACATAGATATTATGGAGAATCTTTGCCCTTTGGGAATGAGTCTTTCAGTGTAAGTGTCTTTGTTTTCCATAAACACGTTCTACACAGACAAAATTCTACCTGTTGTAATTCTTGCCAGTGCAATGACTGTTAGCTTGAGTAAGGTTTAAAGGACTTAAACCTTACTTGAGTAAGGTTTAAAGGACAGGTTTAAGGACTGTTAGCTTGAGTATAGGTTTACTATCCTATTTTTGTAACTATCAGTTCTAGGATTAAAAAAAAAAATCTGATATTTTCTAGCACTTCAAGGAACATCTGCAGAGTATTTCATTTGTTGTCAGGCACAGATTTAGAACTCTACAGCTGCTGTGGGAAATAGAAAGACCTTTGCTGGAAATCACTCCCGTGCTGTGTATAACCTGCTTTCTTTGTCTCAGGATTCCAAGCACCTGAATTACCTGACGTCAGAACAAGCTCTGGCAGACTTTGCAGTACTAATTGAGTACCTAAAGACGACCATTGCGGGAGCCCGTTACAGTCCAGTCATAGCTATAGGAGGATCTTACGGAGGAATGCTTGCAGCCTGGTTTAGGATGAAGTACCCCCATGTGGTAGCTGGGTGAGTGTGCTCATCCTGCTCAAACACAGGGCTGGCATTTCTTACTTCCATGATATAAATATTACAGCACTGTGAAAAGTCCCGTAATTCAAGCTGGCTTGAAATTTTCACTACTGGGAGGAGGAATTTAGTAACCTTGAATTTGGGAAGAGGCACTGTTTGCCTAATAAAGACAAGCGTAGGTCAGCAGGTGCTGGATGGTGTGTATTTTCAGAGCTATCTGTTAGTTTTGTAAAAACTGTTATTATGAACACTGACTTTATACCTAATTTTTTTTAGGGTCACCAGACTTCCTGGTGACTTGAGGCAGGTCTTTAATCTCTTCAGTGCCTTAGTTCCCCTCTGGATAAAAAGAATAGTAATTCCCCTACCTTTGTCTGCTAGAGAGTAGATTTTTGTGGGCCGGGGCTCTCTTCAGTTGAGTTTGCACAATGCCTGGTGAGAAGGGCCTAGTTGCTAGATGAGACTGAAAAATAATGAAGTAAGCAAGTCTGAATTTTTACTTTGTGTATTTACTGATACTTTTGTACTCGTGTCCAAGACTTATAACCTTCAACAGCCTTTGCATGCAGACCTGTGGAGCAGTTTTGCAACATGATGGTTAGTTTGCCTACAGCTCAGTGTCCAAGCTGAATTATAAACGCTACTTGGATAGTGGCCGTGGGGAGGGCGTTGACCAGATGACAGACTTTCAGTTTGCAGAGGTTCACGGTGTTTCTACGTCCCTTTGCAGAGCTCTGGCAGCCTCTGCCCCGATCTGGCAGTTTGGTGATTTAGTTCCATGTGGCACTTATTTCAGCATAGTGACCAATGATTTCAAAAAGAGTGGGACAGGCTGCTCAGAAAGCATTCGGAATTCCTGGAACGCCATTAACCACCTTTCCTCAACAGGTAAGACCTCACCGATACTTTTTCAAAGGGTTATAATGTTCAAGATTGTGTTATGACTTTATAAAATCAACAAACTTCTGTTATGACTTTCACTTGCATATATATTGGGTTTTTTGAAACTAAACTACTACTAAAAATTAGTACTAAACTAGTACTGAAAACTGCCAAATGAGCTTAGTGGTTTTCTTTAATAGTCTGTTATGTTGAATTGCAGGCTTCATTCAGGCCTGGTGTGATTCAGAATCCAGGTCCAAACATCCCTAAGGTCAGACAGGAACTGACTCCAGATTTCTGACAAGCAGGCCAGATAGTCGCTGCTATAAAAAAAAATATATTTTAAATATCAACTGAGGCAATCAGGTGTGGAAAATCGCTACAATCCTTATGGATTCAGTGCTAGGAACTCAGTTAGACTCGATGATCTTAAGAGTTTTTTCCGACCTAAATGATTCTATGATTCCACAACTACGTGAAAGGAAGTTGTAGTGAGGTGGATGTTGGTCTCTTTTCCCAAGTAACAAGTGACAGGACAAGAGGAAATGGCATCAAGTTGCGCCAGGGGAGGTTTAGATTGGATATTAGGAAAAATTTTTTCACTGAAAGGGTTGTTAGGCATTGGGACAGGCTGCCCAGCGAGGTGGTTGAGTCACCATCCCTGGGGTATTTAAAAGACATGCAGATGTGGTGCTTAGGGACAGGGTTTAGAGGTGGACTTGGCAGTGTTAGGTTAATGGTTGGACTGGGTCTTAAGGGTCTCTTCCAAGCTAAATGATTCTATGAATCTATATCAGATGAAGTCACTGTACAGCAAAGGAATTCAATTAAATTTAAAAAAAAAAGTGTTGCTACTTCAGTTCAGTGTCCTAAAGAGAAAGCCTGGTATGATGAGTTAGCTAATTAAAATCAAGAAAACTGAATTGGATGGGTTCTAGAGCAGATAAAATAATGCAAGGAAAAGCCAGGAGAGTCCCAAGAGATCTATCTATTAGTAGTCCTTGGATTGTGAGCTAGCTGGTTTGAAATTTTCCTTTCATTGGAAGAAGCATGCCCTGATGTTAATTCCTATCAAAAAAATGTCAAATGTTTTGTAAACCTTTGATTTTTTTAGATAATGTTATCTTAGCTGTTACATACCCGAACGCTGAAGTATGCAGATTGTATTTCCCTTCGCTTGGAGGTGCTGCCTAAAATTTGATCTGCTGTACTTGTATGTGTGTGGAATAACTTCACCAGATTAGTTATGCTAAGTGGCAATATTTTTTAGCAGCAGCACAGCTGACCTATGTGTTAATGGTACAATACATTAAATACTATCTTATTCATTTTTTCTTTAAAGATGCAGGTTTACAGTGGCTTTCCAGCACATTTCATTTGTGCAGCCCATTAAAGAATCTTCAGGATGCTGCTGTATTGAAAAATTGGCTGAGTGAAACATGGGTAAACTTGGCCATGGTGAACTATCCCTATGAAGCTGACTTCTTGCAGCCTCTGCCAGCTTGGCCTATACAGGTAATTGAGAATCAATGTCTTGTAGAATTGACTTGTAAATTAGTGGTTTAACTAATTCTCTCCTCCTCTCCTAGCCTGCACCTTTTCCTTTATTTTTGGCTCTGTAGAACCAACGTGGCTGGAAAAAAGAGAACCAGGGCAATATCTTCTTGTGCATCAACTGGTTTGTTGACTGACTGCCACTTGTAGGGCTAATAGGTTGCATCAGGAGTCCAGAAGTGCCAGGGATGACTGAAAAACCTCAGCTGTCCTGCAGAGTTGTTCTTGAGGAGCAGAAATGCTGCACAAAAAAGTACCTGCAGTAAGAGCTTCTGATGCCAGACTTGGCTGGCAGAGCTTGCAGTTAAAGAGAAAGTTTTGAGCCTATGGCATCTTTGATGTAGGAGGACTAGTGAGAGAGGCAACGTGGAGCCCCACAAATGTATTCCTTGTCAGGGTCACTTCTCGAAGCAGAACCATTTTTCACACTTGCAAACCTTCACTTGTGCAGTTCTGTTTGTCTGCAGTGCTTTATCCAAGATTTCTACTTTCTTGGAATGTTTTTGTTGTAAGACCCTGGCTGAATTACCTTGCTTGGCTTTGGATTACTGTGTATGGCAGGTGAGGCAGATAAGATATTAGTATTTTTGGCTACTAAGCAGTAGTTAAATATAAATTTTATAGCAGTAGTTAAATATAAAATAAAATTTTCCCTTGTGTAGAGTTATCTCATGGCGGAGGGGAGGGACATTCATCTGTCCTATGTGGCTGTCTGCAAAGGGCAGTATGAACACCTTGAAAATGATTTCTGCTTTGTTACCAATCTGACACAACCTAAGGAATGTGCTCACCTCCACCACTGTCCATGCTGTCTCTGTTTGACTGAGGTATAAACCTAAAATAGAAAAGGCTGCTGCTTGTGTGGACAATGCTAATGTATGAAATCTGAGTTAAGCTGTTCAAGTACTTTTTTCTGGAAAAGCTGTCTGCTGCCCTCTGTTCTGCTATCTGTCTGCAGTGTATATTTGTGTGAGTTAGTGAGCTCTCCAAACCTCTAATTACTGAGTTAAGAACTGATGGCTGAGCTAGCCAAACCATAAAACCTACTTGGAGTGGCAAAATGTGGAGGCTGTGCTCCGACATTGTCTGTAGAGAACAAGGGAGGGATCCATTTCCTAGCTTCCACAATGAAAATGAGGGAAAAACTTATAGAGGGGAGGGAAGGATAGTAAGTTCACTTCTTGGAAGATGCAGAGTTTGCATTGGCAATGTGACTTGTCCCCGTGTGCCCATGCCCCTGTACTTGAACAGTGCTGGAGTTGCAGTGCAACTTTTGCTCCCTGCAGAGAGTAATTTTGGATTCTTCCGATGGGCTGGGAGTGCTGATTCACAGCTTTTGCCCTTGTTCTGTATTAGTCCCAACTAATGGGAGCAGGGGTAAGGAGCAAGCCTTGCCAAAGAGAATATTGTCGCTTTTAAAAAGATGTTTTAAGATGAAAAATCTTTCTAGAGTGTAGTAGCTTTTGTGTTTTCTGTTTGTTTTGCTTCTTCCACTACTTGTGTCCCCAGTTAAGATTTTGAATGAAGCTTTACCTGAGATTGCTCTTAATTTTTCACTGGCTTAAACAGTGCCTTGTTTCACCACCTCATATTTTCCAAACATGAGGAAGTAAGAATTTTGCAATGCTGCTGTATCAAAAGACTTACAAATATTAGAACTGTCCTTACATGGATATTTCCATTTGTACTACAGCAAACTGCAGGGAACTCAAATCTATACCTGGAGCTTCTTTATTATAGATTTTCATGTGTTATCTTTCATTACGGAGGAGCTAAATACTTTATTAAGTATTATCTATTTTAAAGAGTTGGAAATGGATGAAAAGCTTAGTGGTTGAAATGTTAAGGTTGCACTGGTTTTAAAGTTTTAATTGGGAAATGTAAAGTTTCAGGTTCCTCATAGTAGCATGCACTATGCAAATGGAATACTGTCTTTTATGATAATCCTCAGCATATTATTGCATAGAAGGGTGCTTTCTGGAAGTGGTCTGACTATTTCAAAAAGAAATTGACATCCTATCAGGTATTGTGTATTAATCTTTATTTCTTGCAGAATTAGACACCTTCCCCTTTTCTCTCTGTTGCAGGAAGTCTGCAAGTTCTTGAAGGATCCCAGTCTCTCTGACAAATTGTTGCTACAGAATGTTTTTCAGGCAGTAAATTTGTACTACAATTATACAGGAGAAGCCTCGTGCTTAGACATGTCTGAGACTGCAACCAAGAATCTAGGCCAGTTGGGTTGGTACTATCAGGTATGTGCTCTATCCTTTTTCTTGAAACTCGGTGAGGTTTTTGGGCCAGAGCTGATCAGAGTTGTCAAGCCATTTAGCTGTCAATATATTGAGCTAGATGTAATTGAGGTACTGATGACATGTAAGCATGAAGCAAGTATGACTGTAGTGGGGAGGGCAAGGCACAAAAGAGAAGCAGCTTTCCCAGGAGGTTCAGGTTGTGTCTTCCCTGTCTAGCTAATTGTTGAGTTTCAGCTCTTCATATTGGCTGAAAATGATGTACAGCAGCAGCATCTTGGTCTTCTAATCCCCCCCATCCCAATTGTTCACCTCAATTTGTGCAAGCAAATATGTCAGAATTTGTTGATACTAATTTCTTCAACTGCTGCTGTTCATCCTGTAGCTCACTGAGACCCAACTTTTCCCATTGAGTAGGTAAAAATACAGATCCAAGTAAGAGGTCCAGGACATTCTTCTCTCCCCATCTCATTTACTAAGCACACGCAACACTGTTACGTACAGTCTCTCTTCTGAGGAGCAGGGCAGCTGCTTCCAGAAGCAAGGTGTTAAGAATTTGATGATCTTCAGGTTGTGACCATCTGCTCTTGGCTACTGTCTCCTATATATTTGTTCCTCACAGTCCCAGGAGATGTGTGGGCTTTATAAATTGTCCTCTGAGAAAGCAGGGAAACACCACATGGGTAACAAAGAATATTGGCAGCTGGGCTCATCAAACCAACACATCCACTCTGCGGCTTGTTCCCTGCCTGCTTCTGAAGGCTTATAGGAAAGGGGACAAGTACGAACAGACTGTGAGTTAGATGAATTGCCATGGTAGGGGCTATATGGCTTCCAGGATATAAATTGTTTTTCTTTTTTAGATAGTATCACTAAGGTGTCAGAGAATAGTTTGTGTGAAGTATGAAACTTTTCCTTGGTATCTACGAGAAGGGCCATAAGGAGGATCAGGGAAACAGCAGGCCTGTTGATCTGACCTCAGTGCTGGGAAAGGTTATGGAGCAGATCATCTTGAGTGCCATCACACAATGGACAGGACAACCAGATGATCAGGCCCAGTCAGTATGGGTTTAGGAAAGGCAGGTCCTGCTTGACTAACCTAATCTCCTTCTGTGACAAGGTGACCCACTTAGTGGATGAGGAAGAGGCTGTGGATGTTGTTTACGTAGACTTTATTAAAATTGACCCCATTTCCCACAGCATCCTCGGGGAGAAACTGACTGCTCATGACTTGGATGGGTGTATGCTTCACTGGGTAAAAAAACTGGCTGGATGACCAGAACCAAAGATTTGTGGTGAATGGAGTTAAATCCAGGTGGTGACCGGTCACAAGTGGTGTTCCTCAGGGTTCAGTATTGGGGCCAGTCCTGTTTAATATCTTTATCAATGATCTGGATGAGGGGATCACATGCATCCTCAGTAAGTTTGCAGATGACACCAAGTTGGGTGGGAGTGTTGATCTGCTTGAGGGTAGGAAGGGTCTACAGAGGGATCTGGACAGGCTGGAGTGATGGGCTGAGGCCAATTGTATGAGGTTCAACAAGGCCAAGTGCCAGGTCCTGCACTTGAGTCACAACAACCCCATGCAATGCTACAGGTGTGGGGAAGAGTGGCTGGAAAGCTGCCTGGTGGGAAAGGACCTGGGGTTGTTGGTCAACAGCCAGCTGAATATGAGCCAGCAGTGTGCCCAGGATCCAAGAAGGCCAACAGCATCCTGGCTTGTATGAGCAATAGTGTGGCCAGCAGGACCAGGGAAGCGATTGTCCCCCTGTACTTGGCACTGGTGAGGCTGCACCTCAAATACTGTGTTCAGTTTTGGGCCCCTCACTACAAGAAGGACATTGAGGTGCTGGAGTGTGTTCAAAGAAGGGCAACAAAGCTGGTGAAGAGTCTGGAGCACAAGTCTTGTGAGGAGCAGCTGAGAGAACTGGGGTTGTTCAGCCTGGAGGAAAGGAGGCTGAGGGGAGACCTTATCCTCTATACAGCTACCTGAAAGGAGGTTGTAGCAAGGTGGGTGTTGGTCTCTTCTCACAAGTAACAAGCAGTAGGACAAGAGGAAATGGCCTCAAGTTGCACCAGGGGAGGTTTAATTAATTAAAATTTCTTACTGAAAGAGTTGTCAAGCACTGGAACAGGCTGCCCAGGGAAGTGGTTGAATCATCATCCCTGGAGGTATTTAAAAGATGTGTAGATGTGGCACTTAGGGACATGGTTTAGTGTGGACTTGGTAGTGTCAGGCTAATGGTTGGACTCTATGATCTTACGGGTCTCTTCCAACCTAAACAATTCTTTGAGAGTTTGACAGTAATTACTGATCAAATCTTGTTTGAGCTTTTTTATTTAAATTCTGCACTAACAGCTATTGCACAGTCTCCTGGGAATACATCTGTTGCCCTGCCCTTCCTTTCAGGCTTGCACTGAGATGGTGATGCCCATGTGCACGGATGGTGTCAATGACATGTTTGAACCTCAGAAATGGGACTTTGATGCACTTTCAGAAGAATGTTACAGGCTGTGGGGAGTGACGCCTCGCCCCTCTTGGATTCTTTCTATGTATGGAGGGAAAAACATCAGTTCACACAGCAATATCATCTTCAGGTGAGCCTTGTTTCAGCTTCTAGAGTGGAGTCTTCCACCAGTTTGTGTTTTCAGTGCAGAGAGCCTGCCCTAAGTAGCAAAAGGATCTGCCTCCAGCACTCCAGCTGAATAAATGATGGGTGTGCTTTGTGTTGCTCTTGAGAGTGAAATGGTCAGTCTGCAGTGGCCAGAGCAGCCAACTGTTCTGTCACTGCCTGTGTGGCTCTGAAAGGAGAATCTGGTTTGGTATTCTGCCAAATGTAATTTTCTTCCCATGTGGATTCCTTCTTATCTTGTGGCCAAAGTCCAGGTTTCCCATGCTGGTAAATCCATCTAGCTTTTATGAAGCCAAAAGGAAAGTCTAAACAAACTCTAACTGTAACACAGGACCTTGGTCACTAAAATTGTTGCTCTGGGTGATAGCCTGGCAGAGGCTGGCGTGATGTTCCTTTTTCCCTTTGATAGAGAAAAGAGAGGGCAGTAACTTGGGGAGCACTCCTATCACTGCTAATTGCCCTTTTCTTTTAGTGGACGAGTTTCAACAAACTTGTTTAAGATCCAGATGCAAAGAGATGTTTCCATTCTAGCAAGGCACGCTGGTAATGCAGCTGAAGATTGTAACACCTTTGTACGTGGACAAAAAGTGAAAGAAATGTTTCAGTCGTGCAAAGACTGCTGCGTGCTGCTTGCTCTCTGCTCAGCTGTCACTTGCCTTATTTTTGAGGTTAAACTCTGCTTTGAAAGGGAGGTTCATGGAGCTGTATTTCTGCTGTGAGGTGATATAAAACTTTGAACAGCCAAGTACTGGCTGTTCATTAGGTCGTTAAGTGGTAGGGAGGCATTTAATTAACACGTTGAATCCTGTGCTTCAGGAGCTCTGACTTGCCGTACTGATTGCCCACTGTGGGCAGCTCCTGGATATACACTCCTCTGTGCTCTGGTTAAAATTGTGCAAGGCCTCTTCGAAAAAAAAACCCAAACCCTGCCACTTCTTTAAACAAAACTCAGGATTAGCTTGTTGGACTCGGCGAATAGATGTGTATTTTAAAAGTAGAAGGTCCTCAATCGAATTGGGGATTATTCTCTGGTTTTCAGCTGTTAGCATTGATCTGTTTGGCTCCAAAGTGCCTGTTGCTTTCCTTGTTTGTCTCTTACTGTTTCTATCCCAGCAGGATATCTGCTCTAGAGTGAGAAATTCCACCCTTTTTTTGAAGACTTTTTAATAACAAAAATGTGTTGGTTTAACTTAATTTCTGCAGTGTTGCTTATTTCCAAGGCTTCACAGCTCTGTACAGTAGAAATCTGCTTTGTAAGCGACAGACACGCAAACAAATCTAAGTAAGTGTTTAGGAATTTATGCCAGCTGAAGGAGCTTGAAATGAGAAAAGCTTGAAAGCAACCGAATGAATGAAGTAGTGCTGTACACACAAAGCCTTGGATCTCAAGCTGGGTTGTTGCTCTTCAAACAAATACATTGTCAACACTGTACATTTTATATAAGAGCCTTTTATCCTCAAACACTGCAGAGTGCTTTACAAAAAAATATCCCTATGTTTACCAGGGGATGCAGCTCCCCGGGGGGGAAAAAGCACTGTGTTTCCAGTGTCAGGCAACTTGCACAACACTTTAGCGTAGGAAAGGAAGAATACTCCGTCTAAAGAGAACCATGGTAGGCTGGGTTTATCCAGCCACAGTGGGATTTGGCCAGGATGCTCAAACTGGTGTTTCTGCTTGTCCCTCTGCAAACAGTGCATCGCTGCAGATTCACGCTGTGTTGTACGTGTTGTATGGAATTAACGCAGGAATCTCCGTTGCCACTGAGCAGAGATGACGGTCAATGCAGCCATCAGAGTGCAAACAGTGCAGAGAATGGCCTTTTCAGGAGCTGCTGTTTGGCAGGTGATGGAAGGTTTGGAGCTGTCTTGTGAGGAGCTCAGGCTATTCTCAGGACCTTCTGAAGGAGCTCTAGACTCCTCTCAGTCCCCTGGCATGCACCCCAAAGGCCCCACAGGAGGAAGCAATCCCGATTATATGCCTCCTTACCAGGAAGAGTTTATTTCATGAAGCTCTCTGACAGCTGGAAGACAGGCTTCTGCACATGGTAGAGCTCATGGCCCGCCATGGACAAATAGCGTGTAATAAAGCAGAAGGTTCCCAGACCAGGTTATTTTGACATCTTGGAAAAAAGAGAAAAGGAGGAATATGTCCTTCTTATGTTGAGGGCCCCAGAGCTGAATGCAGTAGCCCACCTGCAGTACTGTGTTCAGATCTGGGGCCCCCAACGTAAGAAGGACACAGAGCTGTTGGAGTGAGTTCAGAGGAGGGTCATGAAGATGATCTGAAGACTGGAGCACCTCTGCTGTGAAGACAGGCTGAGAGAGTTGGGGTTGTGCAGCCTGGAGAAAAGAAGGCTCCAGGGAGATACTATTGCAGCCTTCCAGTACCTGAAGCAGGCCTACAGGAAAGCTGGAGAGGAAATTTTTACAAGGGTGTGTAGCGATAGGACAAGGGACAATGGCTTTAAACTGAAAGAGGGGAGATTTAGATTGGATATAAGGAAGAAATTTTTTACAATGAGGGTGATGAAACACTGGAAAGGATTGCCCAGAGAGGTTGTAGCTGCCTCATCCCTGGAACTGTTCAAGGTCAGGATGAGGCTTTGAACAACCTGGTCTAGTGGAAGGTGTCCCTGCCCATGGGAGGAGGGTTGGAACTAGATGATCTTTGAGGTCCCTTCCAACACAAACCATTCTGTGATTCTACTTAGGCTGTAGGCAGGTATTACTTGCCTGTCCTGGGCAGTGGATCTTTATTAACACTAGTTTGAGGAAACTGAGGTTTTCAGAACCCTGTTTGCCCTTTCTCTTCCAGCAATTTCCACTCCTGATGCTCTTACTGGAACATGCTTTGTATTTGGTGTGGAACTGCTGCACAGTGGTGGCGACAGCATTTTAACACCGTTCATGCATGTGGTGCTGTATTTGGTGTGGAACTGCTGCAACAGCATTTTAACACCGTTCATGCATGTGGTGGCAGAGAGCTTGTAGCAGTTGATAGTGTCTTGTCATCAACATACTATGGTAGGTAAAATCAGCCCAGGTTGTATCAGACAGTACGAAATTTCATGTGTGCATTCTAAAAATTGATAGTCTGGATGGACCACACCTGGGTTATATGCTTCTAAGTTAGGGCACTCACCTCGCCAGTTCTGTACTGGCAGGGGAGAGGCAGAAGGTGAAGGCTCTGTTTTGAGAGATACTGGAGCTATGTGGAGAATTGGGGATTGTTAGCATAAAAGAAGGGAGTGGAGGAAAAGAAGAGGAGGTAGAATAATGCCTGGCTGAAGAGAAGTGAGAGGAAAAAAGCTAAGAAAAGAAGACTTGGCAGTTGTAGAGAGTGGGCATGTTAAAAAAGGATGCACAGACAGTGCTGCTGAGATTGTGTAAAAACTTCTCCTTGTTCCAGGCAGGGCTGGAGAGCTAAGGAGGCTCTGAAGAGATAATAGGAAAGGGAACTGTTTGCTGTGGGATAGGCAGGACCCTGTTTATGCTGTCGAGGAAATATGAAGAATTGAAACAGGACTAGCCTGTTGATATTTTGCAGTAGTGTTTTTTTTTTTTCTGGAGCCCTACTTGCCTGGCCACTGCTGGAGAGGAATGGCTGACTTTTTCATTCTTTCTTTTCTTTTGCCACTTCTGTTTACATTGGGGAACTCCTGTCCTGTAAGATGGGCAACGGAGTACTTCCGTGCATGCTTGGTTTTAACACTTGAATAATCCATTCCAGTTGGTACTGAATCATCTTATTCTGTAAAACTTAAGCCGATTATTTTGTGGTGAGCCCTCCATCCCCCGCTCCTCTCACCAAGTGTCACTTCACAAACTGCGTCAGTGCCTCCGGTGCCATCGTTTGGCAGGAGCCCCAGAGGACGCAGCCAGAAGCTCCCAGAAAAGCCAGGGACAGTGTTGTTTCCTTGTGGCATGCTTAGTTTCCACATGACTGGGACCAAAAGATCCAAGTTCATGTGCATCTCGGGTCTCTCAGCAACTCATCCCCCTGTTGCCAGGGTGCTCTGCTGATTCAGGTGACCTTTTAAATCCAATGCTTTTTGCTTATTGGGCAGCTCCGTATGCTTTTTGTTTTGCAGATACAAAATGTTTCTCTTCTAAGACATATTTAGAACCACTGAAAATAAAGAACTGCAGAGATTCAGGTGTGTTTTTTTTTTCCAATGGAGAAACAAATAAAGTATTAGTTCAGACCCCATCAGATTTTTACTGTTAGTTGTTTCTACAAACCTCTTTTCTACTTGATATTTCTTTCTGTTATTTTCTGGTGCTGGCATTGTGGTATTTTTCTAGCTGTGTATCTCTTCATGTCCAAGGATGTTTTAGTTTCTTAGATCCTCCTAGAAATTTACACTGACATACATTAGTCCATCTCTAATGTTCCTTTTGTGGGTAGGTCCAGTGTTTTAAGTGAGGAACAGAGCTAGATTTGTGTAGTTCCATAAGTATACAGATGTTGTTTTCTTTATGCAGAATGATGGACCACGTGTGGGAAGAACACTGTGGTAAAGGAAAATAAGATGTAGTAGAGTACTGGATCAAGTCGAAAGCTAGGAATGAGAGATGCAAAACTCTTATCCCTGTTTAGCCATTGGCTTTCTCCATGGACTGGGCATTATTTGGAGCCAGATCTACAGTGCAAGGAATCCTTTCATTGATTTGGGGTGAGGAAAGAAGGGGAGTAAATTGCTTTAAATTGTCCTGTCACAGAGAAGAAGTAATTTTAGACAGCTTCGTGAGGGAGAAAAGCTTTATTTTAATATGGTTGTTATTAGAAATATGGGGACTCATGGAAGGTCCAAGCATTTCTTTGCAAAACCAGGCTGGCACACAGCTAAGACAGCAAAAGGTAAAATTTCCTAAAAATCCACCTCTCAAGGGTCCAGTTGGTTATTAGTTTATGGCAGACTGTGAAGAAGGAAAGCAAAGTGCTTTGATTGGAGAGTTTGGACATGTCTCGGTACAAGGGAACCCAAACTTTTTATGACAAAGACAGGTGGCAGCAGATCCCTCTCCAGAGGCTGTAGCACTATTATAGGTTATTATCTGAATTAGCAGATAATTAATAACAGAAGCACAGCCTTGCTTAAGCTGCCAGTAGCTCTGAACCTGTCGAGAAGGCTCCTCTCAGCAGAGGGGTGGGCACCAGACATTCAGACAGGGCTGAGGACAGTTTCTGTTGGTACATATGCAAAATTGTGAAAATCAACTTGCATATGTTGATATGAGTTGCAGCCCCACTGCTGACTGCTGTGCAGATGTGCCCTAATGAGGTGTTCTTTCCTCACAGCAATGGTGGCCTGGACCCATGGTCTGCAGGTGGGGTGACCCAGAACATCAGTGATTCCCTCGTGGCAATCATGATCCCAGATGGAGCCCATCACCTGGACCTACGCAGCCGCAACCCTTCGGACCCCAAATCTGTGCAGCAAGCTCGAGCCTTGGAAATCAGCTACATGAAGCAGTGGATTGAAAAGGCCAGGCACAACCACTGAGGTGGCCGTTGTACCTCCGTTGGCTTTGCTGGGAGCAGGGCCAGGCCTCATCCCATGATCATCTGAACGTTTCGCTCCTGCTTCCTCGCCTGTGCCGCAGTCGGATAATAAACTTTAGTCGAAGTGTGTAGATGCAGCTGCCTGCTCTGGCTTGCTTTCCTCTTCTGCTCCTCTCAAGTGCCATACTCTGCCGTGAAGTGAGGAGTTTCTGTTCCAGGCTCGGTGCCTCCCTTGCTGGGTGATTGTCCTGACTGCTGGTACCTACAGCAGATTAAATGGCAGTGCTGTTGATGATGAAACTCCTGCTGCCTTCAGTGGAATTGAATTTCAGACATCCTCATCTTGTGCAAGCTGTCATGGCAGGGGCAGGGAGATAACAGGGGAACAGAATCATAGAATCATCTGGTTGGAAGAGACCCTCAAGATCATTGAGTCCAACCATTCACCCTGCACTGTCAGGGTCCCTAAACCATGTTCCTCAACACCAAATCCACACGGTTTTTAAACACCTCCAGGGATGGGGACTTCACCACCTCCCTGGGCAGCCTGTTCCAATACTTCACAACCCTCTCTGTAAAGAAATTTTAGAATTCATAGAATCATAGAAATGACATCTTACTGTGATGCTTGGTGCAGAGGTAGGGAAGGCCTGGGGAAACTGGCTGTGCTGTTTGTAGAGAAACTCAACAGCCCTTACCCTTTGGCATCAATGCTGGAAAAGAAGTAAATGTTTTTTTTCTTCTTTTTTTCTTCTCTCTCTCTCTCCCCTTAGTTTTCTGGCAGCTTATTAATCAAAGCTGCCTTAGGTGACTCTTCCATTCTGTGCTGTACTGAATGGTCCGGGCTGGGCCCAGACTCACTCTGCTGATAACTGGCTGAGCACGCACCATCTGCATCAGGGTTTTATTTCTTCCTTTGCTGTTTGTCCTAATCCTGAAATATCTGCCACTGTGATGATGGTTGCCAAAGAAAACTCTGGGTGTATTTTGTGTGTGTGTATGTGTGTGTATCCCCCACAAACATATAGCTTTTTCAGATCGGGGAGCTTTCGAAGCTGTTCTCTTGGAGAGCAAATGTGACACTTGTGCTGGCTAGATCTTATGAAGTGACAAATAATTGGGGCTGTGCCTTGTGTGGGTTCCTCCCTCCCCCCCCTTCCGTGTATTGTTCAAATTCTGCATGATCTGTTTGCTGATGGCTCTTCAATAAAAGCCTTTTTTTAAAAAAAAAATTGCTTGAGGGACGAACTATTCAAAACACAGAATGCAGCTATCCTCTTGGATCGGCGTAAAGCCTGTGCTGAGCTCAGCCAGCCAGGTGCACTGGGCTTTCTGTCAGGCTTCCAAACCAGACAAACTGCCCTGATTCATGAGACAGCATATTTGACATTAATAAATGGCCAGGGCAGGCCCCTCGTTTTCCAGCTTTGACTTCGTTCACACTGAAGCCCTTCTTCAGAAAGGATTCTTTGCAGTTTAAAGGACAACTCTATTTCAGAAAGACTCGGGCAAGGCTTCTTGTCTCCAGACTTAAAATTCCAATTCTGTTGAAAAGTTTTCTCGGGTTTGATGATATGCCTGATAGTGGAGTTTTTTCCTAAGACACCAGGCCTTTTCTGTTTCCAATCTCCTCCTATCCTCTGTGAACAAAGCTAACCCAACACTGAAATTTTGTCTTTTAAAACACTCCTGTGCATCTTCTTTTCAATAAGAGTTCCTGGTGTTACCCCGCCTTGTGTTGAACAGGGCATTTATGCTCAGACTCTACAATCTGAACTTGTCCAGCTCTTCAGCAAGGTGATTACCTAAGAGACTACAGAGAGCAAGACCAGAGAAGAACCACAGGGGGAAAAGGAGGAGCTACGTAGGCCTTGCCTGAAACCTGTTGGCAATCTCTTTTCCAATAGTTTGAATTTTTGGTGCTCTCCTGTAAATATATTCCAGTCTCTTGCTCATGTACGTTATAATGACATGGTGGCCTTGAGTTTTCTTGAAACAAATAAAAATTATTGTTTTCTAATCAAGTGAATTTACAGTCAAGTTTTTAGAAATACCATTGTATCTTCTTACGTGTTAATCCATGTATGGTATTATCCCAGTTTACTGTGAGGCAAGGAATGGAGTCTGCAAGAGTAAACATAAATTTGGGCATCATGAATGGTTTGTAACTGCAAGCAAGAGCCTGGACCAGCTGCTCCCATTGATTTCTCAGGGTGCTGCTCCACGTGCAAATTCAGGGAAAAACACTTCCATGTTGTATGGAGAAGGGTGTCAGGATATTCATGCAATGGGTTGTGAATGGTCCAAACTACCAGCCTCTGTCTATAGTGATGTATAGTCATCAGCTTGTGTCTCCTTCTCCCTGTCCCCTGCTACCTAACTTCCTGTCTCAGGAAACAGCTGCTGCTTTGTTGTTTGGAAAACATTTCGTAGTTTCAGTCGGAATGAGTAATCAAAATTTCACTCCTCTTCATCCGTCCCCTATTTCGTAAGCAGGAAAAAAATTGCCTTTAATGAAACTTAAAACAACAAAACTTTTGAATTTTGAGAAATTGCATTTAAAAACAAATCGTTCAGTGGTTTGTTGGGGTTTTGTTGTTTGGGATTTTTTTTTTGTTTTTTTTTAAATGTCACTACTCCATTCAGTTTCTGGCTGTGAGACTGATTCTGGACACTTTGGATCAGGTTCTCACTGCCTGGACCAGCTTATGAATTGGGTGAGTGGCTTTCCGTTATTTTTAATTGTTCTTTCTTTTTACTTTTTCTCTCCCTTAAGTTGAATAGTTGAAACTTTAGGTCTTACCTTCAGCATTCAGACTTCATCTTAAAATCTATGTATGCATCTCTGTACACTGCCGAGGGACTGTCTGTGGTGTTTGGCTGCCTCACCTAAATGTTAGTTGTCCTGCTTGTTTTGTGCGGGTGAGAAGAACACGAGCCGTGGGAAACAGCTGATTTCTCTTTCCAGGTGTATGATGATGGGCCATACTTCATCTAAGGCTTATGTGTGTCCTTGGCATGTGTCAGGAATGATTGGAATTTAAAAATGTATGTTTCCTACTCATTGGGGAAAATGCAGAAGGAAAAAGAATGATTTACCCAAAGCACGAATCTTACTGACAAAACTGCAGTTTATATCAATAAAAATGCTTTAAAATAATGAAATGTGAGTGTCTGGAACTGGATTTTGTTTTGCAAGAACATGGATTTCTATCCCTTGGCAGGTGTCCCTGCCCATGGCAGGGACGTTGGAACTAGGTGATCTTTGAGGTCCCTTCCAACCCAAACCATTCTGTGATTCTATGATTTCGAGTTTTGCAAATGACGTTGTCCTGTTTGTGCTTGGCTCTGCTGGAGTGGGAAGAAAACTAGTTGAGATAATCCTCAAGTTACACACACAGCAGTCAAGATGTCGGATGGTGAGTCTGCCCTTGTTTAGTAGTTTCTCACTTCAGAGGTTTAGCTGCATGGTGAGGAGAGGGTGTATGAACTGGAGGTTCTCCTTAAGTGACCATGTTGAATGCAATCAAGCTATGATGAAAAAAAATCCTTTTTGTTTTTGAAGGCTTATTCCAGTTCCAAGCAAACACGCACTTCCTACATGTCAGTGATGATGAAGGTTGTGTGGATGGATCCATAATGCTCCCTGACCTGACAAGTGGAGGTTTAACTGGGCCGTGTTGCCCCAAGAGTTAATCAGGCAGAGTCTTGGGAGGGAGCTAAAAAGCTTCTGCAACTTGCTGTGTTTGTAGGTACATTTAACTTTGAAGATCATCAAATATAGCGTCATCTAAGGAGACTATAGAAAGGAAGGCCTCTCCAGGAACCTGGAACGTGGGTTCTAAATCACAGGAAAAGTGTTTGCAAAGTGAAAATCGAGTTTTGTCTCCCACGCTGCCTGCCCACCAAATGTGTTGCAGCCAAATGTCAGTATGCTTTAAATAAAGGGATTTCTGTTTTTTCTACCTCTGCTCTTAAAAAGGGTGTTTGGGTGTTGTGAATCTGTTCTCTGAGGAGTGGGAAAGATTTGTGGGTGACCTAAAGAGCTTTCTGTATGTTAAAGACTTTGCTCATTGGCACTCAGGTATTTTAGCTCCTTCCAGGACTAATGGTGGAATTCTTGTGTCTTTCTTACAGTCAGGTGGATGCTATGAAACCCATCAACGAGACCATAATACTCCAAGTTCATGTTGTTTGCTCTCCCCTGTTGATTCAGGAGAGCATCATCGCCACGCTGTAACCAGAGGTGCGCGTTCATGGAACTGTGTGTTTAGAAGAAAAAAACAAAAGATTTTTGTGGTAGTTGGAGTTAATAAAATGTCTGAAACTACGCAGACTTGTGACCCGGTGATACTTGCACTCACAGCCATAACCAGCTTGAAGGGATTACCTGTACTAAGAGACTACCGTGGGGACAGACTTGTGCTGTTAGAATAATGCAACAGGTCCTCGCAGAACTGGGCGAGCAGAATGAATCACAGAATCACAGAATGGTTTGGGTTGGAAGGGACCTCAAAGATCATCTAGTTCCAACTTCCCTGCCATGGGCAGGGAAACCCTCCACTACACCAGGTTGCCCAAAGCCTCATCCAACCTGGCCTTGAACACTTCCAGTGATGGGACGTCTACAACTTCTCTGGGCAACCTGTTCCAGTGCCTCACCACCCTCAGAGTGAAGAATTTCTTCCTTATATCCAATCTAAATCTCCCCTCTTTCAGTTTAAATCCGTTGCCCCTTGTCCTATTGCTACACGCCCTTGTAAAAAGTCCCTCTCCAGCTTTCCTGTAGGCCCCCTTTAGGTACTGGAAGGACTTAAATCAACCGTATTTGTGCTCTCCAAGACATCAGTAAACTATGCCAGCCGTTGCTTATCTCACAGTTGGGATTTTTGTGAAGGTTTGGGTGCCAGCTGGCTGTCGGGGTGCTGTGGGTGTAACACGTGGGCACCTCCATACTGGAAAATGCATTTTCTCGAAGGCACCAGTGCTATAGCTGAGTGT